ACGTACGATTTGTATTCATTGATAATTAGAAATATTCGTCCTTTATATTTTTTTATTACGCTTCATGGAATAAAGTTGAAGGAGAAATTGGAAGGTAATTTCGATTTTAGTAGTAGAATTGTTACGTGGTCTATTAATAAATTTATTTCACAATTTTTCGAAATATTTCGCGTATATTTATTACGATAATCTTATCGTTTAATTCTTAAATGATATTAAAATTTGATTCAGATTCGCGTGAAAATACGTAAGAAATTTTTCTTATACAAAAAAATTTCATCAAATTTGTAGAAAAAAATATGATTTGCGATTAATTTTTTTCATATTATGAATATATTTTATATAACATGATAAAAATCGTAGGATGTGCTATCATTTTGTTCAAGAATATATATATAGAAGAAAGAATAAGAAGAGCGTTTCAATATTAAAAATTCATGGAACTTGCTCAAATGAATCTGTCCAAAGCAGATGAGAACTTTTCTCGGAATAAAGCAAAGATAAAAGAATAATTCTAAATTTATAATAATTTTCCAAGTCATATCAATTTATATTTCATTTTTTACTTTTATTCGACGATTCGTAAGCTCTGCGATAAAATGGAAATGTAAGAACATTATAAATATTTTTCGAAAAAAATGTATTAAATTCCATTAAAATGTTTATCGTTATCCGTAAAACTTTTCGCAGAATATAGAGACGGAATCAATCAACTTCGAGAAAAGTGAAATTTCCTGATACAAGATAATAACAAAAACAACATTGTTCTTACAATGATAAATCTACACCGATAGAAAGAAATTACTATCGCGTTATGTGTAACAATGGCCAAAGAAATTAACTAGATATCCACTAGGGATATTTTACTCCGTAGATAATAGAACTGCAACATATTCGGTGTATATAAATTTCTTTATCATGAGTGTACGTACGAAACAGAGCGACGAAAATAGGATATTTAATTATCGTGTTTAAAAATACAAAGAAGATAGGGCAAAATGTCAAAGTCAATTATTCCAAGATAATCAAGATCGCAATTGTTTTCTCACGAATGAAGAATTTTTAACTATAAATTTTTTATAACATTATATACTTTAAACTGTATAAGAAGAAACTATATAAAATTATATTTTTAATTTTGTAAAATGTCGAAATATATTTTAATAACAGTTTTAGAGTAATCAATCGTTAAATTTTTGTTCTTTGATAATTTTCAAGAGAATAACTCGTAACAAGGATTTATTATAAGATAAGCGAAGTGAATAATAAAATGATAATCGCGATATTTCAACAAAATTCGATTAAAAATATAATATTTTAACTACCGATTAAACAAGAAGATTAAATTTTTGCAAAAATTAATTTCTGCTAACTAACCGGCCGAGCTTAAGAGAGGCAAAAGAGAGGCTTGCAATATGTAATTTAATTGAAATGCGCGGGTAACCTTAATCTAAAAATTAAAATGAAACACGCCTCTAAGAAAGTATTTCAATTACACTCGAAATATTTTTAATTACCAGTTTAATTTCCTATCTTTCTTCTTCTTCTTCTTTTTTTTTTCAATTAATCGCAAAACGATTTATCTCTCGTACACGAGGAGATAAAGAGATCTCCCTTTACAACGAAATAAATAATATTAACTACGGTAGAACCTCCATTATCCAAACTAATTGAAAGACAAAAGCGTTCGAATAACCGTTTAATTCTCTCATTGTTAAATAAGGCTTTATCCCATATATATTTTGAGCAAATTCAATGCTCTTTTGTTTCCAGAAAAAAAATTTAAATAATAATAACAGTAAAAGTTTCTAAATTTTTAAAAAATCAAGATTTCTTTTTCGAATTTTCTTCAAAGTGAACACATTTCGATTTCGATAATTAACAATTAACGTTTGCGTATCGATATCGTCGTGCGTGTCCAATGTCAATTTCAAATTAAATTCTACTTCCCTCGTAAAGGCGGCTATTTACACTGTTGAGTACAGATAGTGTACAATTCGGATAATAGAACGTTGGTAAGTCCGGATATGGAAATTCTATTGACCCATCCATATCACTTTTGGAACCTTTCGAGATTCGAATGTTCTTTGACACGTGTTCTTTGACATTGTGCCGCGAGTAAAAACTGGTACACAGGAATTAAATTTCATTTTTGACACACAATGTGAAACAATGTGAAATCCAGTTTTAAATACGTTCGTCGAAATTTGATTAAACGTTATCTCAGAAAATTTGTCCTTGTCTTTGTGAATCCTAAGCGAAGAGTGGTAAGCGACGATGGGATGGGAGCTGAGTCGCGTACGCGGAGCGATATTTCCATTAAGAAGTGGCGCAAAAGCGGGCACGAGTTACGAGGAGAAAGAAGAAGTGGAAGAAGAAAAGTTTCAAAGGAAAGGAAAGTTTCGACGAAGATGATATTATTCGCGATAAGGTGAAGCCTTGCACGATAGTTTATTTTCCTAGTTTCTCTTTCGTGGCCACAAATTAGAAACGAATCTTACTTTTATTCCCTCCTTTGCTTCCTCCCATACGTTTCAATTTTTCTCGATTATCGGATAAAAAGCGATTGATATTATTTCAAAACAATATCGACTCTTTACAGATTGTTAACCGTGGGATGTTAGAGAGATTAAGATAAAATTATGTTTGGCATACGGTATGATATTAAGAGTTGTTTATCAAGTTGTACGAGCATATTAATTTTCTTTTTGCATTGGACGAAGAGAGACTAATATCTCGTCTAATACAAATTGCTTGTAAAACATATATTAATGCAAATTGAAGTTTTTATGAACACATTAAATGGAACTTAAGGATTACTTACCTTTCAAATACATTGTTAACATTTTATAACGCTCTCTGTCTTTTTCACGCTCGCCACATATTTTTTTGCCACATCTTTAAATGATTTTTCTCGAACTTACAGAATCGCTGAATTTAAATTAAAAAATTTCCCCTCCTTCGAAGATGCTCTGGTTTCTACTTTCGTAAAAAGAAAGGAAGAAAAATCAAGCTCGATCGAAATAATTATGCCAGGGGGGAGGGGGAAGAAAATATTCAGAAATTGGAGATCGGTAATTTTAACGGTTTTCTTTAAACGGTAAAGGTATAAGTAACAGTAATAAATTTCCTCTGGAAACAGAAGCAGAAAACGTGATAAAAGCACGTGAAACCATGGTTAAAATCAACAATATGGTTGCATAAGTAGAACATTGGCCGAGTCCAATTTCTTCGCCTAGTTTTGCATTTTCGCGATATTTGTTCAATCTCCTTTCCTTCCTATCCATTATTACCCAAAGAAAGAGAGAATAATTCGAACGTATCATCTTGTTGCTCGATGATTTCGAGTTCAGTGGAAGTGATTTTGTGAACGATGTTTGGGAAGCCGGTGTATAGAGCGAAACTTGGCAAACAGTTGAGTATAAAATATGGTAAATTTCAGGCAGGTGTATTATTCCCTTGGATGAAAGGTGAAGGAGAAAAACTTGCTAAGAAACTGCGTAATAAATGTTCGTTATTACGGTTTAATACAGGAGGAGGAGGAGGGATAATTTTAGGAGAGATGAGTCGTTTCCTTTTTGAAAAAAGTAACAATTGCAAAGGTGATTCGTACAGTACATTTGAGTTCATTTCAAAAATTGATATTTAAAATAGACGAGAGCGAAAATTTGCGACGATTATTCCAATGATTTTCGTATTTTATCCAATTATTTTATCGTGTTCTAATTTCTCTTGTATCTGATGCATTATGTTCGTCGATATGTTATTTTTGAAGAAAAGTAGGAAAAATTTGTTAGTTAAAAACTCTACTGTAATAAAGTGTATGACTATGATTAGTGAAAAACTATTATAATTGAATTACATGGAATAAATTAACAAAAATTTAACGATGCATATATTTTGTTATATTAAATCTTGATTATTCGCAAAAATAAAATTGATCCAATGTGTTGTTAAAACAGACACAAAATTGAAATAACTTGTGCAACCTAATATGAATTTCTGTGTTATAATTTGGATAAAAATATTTGGAAAAACTTGTTAAAAAAGTGTAAACAACTTCTTTTTAAAAAGTCTAGGATAATAAAAGAACCTTTTTTTCCTTGCTACATGTAACTCATAATTGAATGCATGATTTAGTTTCACGGTTTGTTACTTAACTATTATATCTTTATTAGATTTTCATTCCAAGATACTGTTCTTTACCTCACAAATGATCAATAATAAAACCGATTCAATGTTCTTACAACTTAATTATTACACAAGATAAAATGCTTACACAAATTTTAAACGAATTTAAAAAATTTACTTCAAATTTTTGATGCACTAAGAGTTGAGGAAAATTTGAAAATGCAACAAACAATTTTTTCGAAAACGTTATGAAATTGCAATTTGATCTTTATACAAAGTCTAAATATCACGCGAAACACGTAACTGCGAGCTAAATATATCACAAGTTATGCAAACGATCCATCCTCTTCCGGATTCACAACATCCTCCCCTTAACGGATGGCCCTTAAGCGGGAGATACAGTTTGTTATCTGTTGCGAGCCGAGATTCGTCCCGCTTTAATTCTCCCTTCATCTTCCGGCAAAAAATCTTCCCTTAAGCGGATAATATCGAAAATTTAAGGGATCCGAGGACGCGTGGACCGCGATGAACGCCGCTGCTTATAACGCTTTCTTTCTCTCCCGTGTTAAAAACCCGATCGTATCTTTCTAATCTCTTTCTCGAGTATCCCCCCATTTACTTGATCATTTAACCGAGAGTCGATTAGGAAGGAATTAGAATCGAGTATTTAATTTGTAAATAGAATCGAAGAAAGAAATCGGGTAGAATCTATCTAAGAAGAAATAAAAAGAAGAAAAGAACCTATCTAAATAATTAGGTAGATAATTACTCGTTTCACTCCCTCTCCCTTTTCTTGCAATTCACGCCTACGCTCTTTGTTTTTGCTATTTTGTTTAAAGATAATACGCTACTCTTTGATATTTTTATTTAGAAATTTTCACTATTTTTTCTCTCTTTCTATTACATAATATTCTTCATCGATATTTCAATAGATTGTATGACAATATTAGTACATCGTTTGTTAGGAATAGTAGTCTTACAATTAGTTTCATATTTATTTAGTAATCTTCACTAATTTTTCTTTTCTTTTATTTATCGATATGAATTTTTGAAAAGAGAGAATATTATCTCTTCTCATCAACCTCAGCCTTCACGTCTATCCCTTTTATTACTCTCCGTCTTACTTACTATTTCTCTAATTTTCCCTACTCTTCTTTTTCCTTCTGTCAATATCTCAGTTGATAGATTATACGGCAATATTGCAGTACAGTCTTTGTTAGAAATTATTTATTTAAGTTGATCTACTCTAATAATAATAATAACAATATCAAGGAAACAGTTTTAATGGAAAATCATGCGCGATCAAATAAATTAATATCCCAATTAATGCAAAATTTAACTTTATACTCTGAGAATAACGATAATTTTCAATCAACGAATGACTATATTACAAAATGTCCAAAAAAAAAAAAGAAAATCTCCATTTCAAACGAAATACACGCATGCAGAAATTTTCATTCAAATCGGATTATCATTTTCAACGAAGTTGTGCTTCTCGAAGAAGCAGCAAAGCATCTTTCGTGCATTTTTCCGAAAGGAAAGGGGAGGAGAAAGAAATAATATCCGTTTCAAACTTCACGCATCCCTCGTTTCAAACTTTATACACGTGTCATTAGTTACGGAAACTTGGAAAATGGAAAAGGCCACCAAGAGTGAAGTGAAAAAAAACTATCATCGGTGGAAAGTTTGTCTCGTGCTAACCGTACGTTACGTCTCCAACGATGACGAGTAACAACGCTTTTGCGGAGGAAAGTTGCGCGAGCCTCGTCGTTCTGATGATGAAAATATCATGGGAACGTGTTGTATTCTCGGTCGAGGAAACCGTAACGAGTTTGAGCGCGCAGAACGGAATAGAAAAGAAGGAGGAACGATGGAAAAAGGTATTTTTTTTTTTCTTTCCTTTACCTTTCTGCTGAAGATGTTATTATCTACAATCAGTCACAAAAGTACATCTTATCCGTGGAGAAATTAATATTCGTGTTTGCATTTTCTTCTTTGAATTTGAAATTTTTACCACTTTTCTTAAAAATGATTTCACATGTACATACGTTCTATACCTGTTACAATTATTGGAATTATCTTTCTGGTTTTGATAAAACAACTTATATTGAATTTGCATAAAGGCAAATTCTGTGATTTGTGTCGTTTTATGTCAAAACACAATTTGTTCGATCGACCAGGATAGGATGATCTTTAAATTGAAGTGGAGACACTTTAAATATGAAATGCAATGTTCTTTCTCTCTTTAATTTTTTCCAATACATTTTCCCTCATACTTATAATGGCTCTGTTCCATTAATCATAAACTGGTTTAACATTGTTTTCATCCAGCTCGTCAATCGTGTGTCGTTTGGATTATTGGCGTGTCATACAAAACGGTGTTATAACGCCAGAAATGAAGAATTGATGATAAAGAGAATGTTATTGAAACGAAAGGAAAAAAAGTTGGCGATATCGAGAATCGATCGTATCGAATACAAAAGAAATCGATCCTCTATGCCCGAATGGGCGCCGATTCTAATAAATCTATGCGTGGGTGGACGATTGTTTTACCCGTTTAACATTTGTATTCGCTACAACAACAAAAAGCCCCCTAAAAGGAAAAACTTTGGACAAATAAAATATGTTGGTCGAAAGAAAAATTCACGAAACGAGAGATGTTATTCGTCATCGATATATTTAAATGACTTTTAAAATCGTCGTTCGAAACCGTACCTCTCTCTAAACAAAACAATTTAATCAATAATTAATTTATTCCGATAATTGGAATAAACGGAGAGAAAAGTTTGCGAATAGGAAAAAATCTTACGAGAGCGAAAGGAAGAAAAATTCTTGAATTCCGATCTGCAAAATCGAATCTGTTTGCATTTTAAACGGGAAGAAAAATTGGAGTGGAAAAATCAGAGAAACGTCGAAAGAAAGATTCAATTTGCTTTTCACTTTCGCCGAATTAAAATCCATTATTCTTATTATAAACGTAGCGCCACCTCGTGGCTGATGACGTTCAACTTGTGGGCAAAACAGCGGAATCGTAACTTTTGATTAAGACGTCCGACGAATTAAGTCCTTCACGGAAACGAACGAGCGAGGGAAGGAAGGAAGAAAGGAGGGAAGGAAGAGGGCGAATAAGAGGAGTTGGTGAAGAGAGGAGGGAAAAGAATCGCGTTAGTGGAGTAGAAACAGGAATAGTTAGAGAGAGAGAGAGAGAGAGGAGGAAGGAAA